CACACACACACACACACACACACACACAGCTTGCATCCAATGGTATTTCTGATCAACTCACTACACTACACCTTTAAGGATCCCAAAAATAACTTTTTATCAGTAAAACACAAGATTAAGAAATGTTTTTCTTGTTCTATGAGTGTACACTGGTAATGAGCTGCAGGATAATTCCTCTTCCAACAGGGTGCTTTTAGGATTATTTTGGGACTGAGAAGAGGAACTACATGGGGTCTGTGTATCTGTCTCTGCATGGGACACACACTCCACCCCTCACTTCAGTATGGGGCTTTGCTGGTGGCCAGTGTATGAGTCCTGAAATGTATGCTAATCCATTTTATTACTGCATCAAACTCCTTACATAGGTCATCATGGACAGTTGCGCCATCTTGAGAAAAATGTTTGTGAAACAATCACAGCAAACACCAGAAACCTTGCCAGATAACTGTTAAGGAAATAGGTCATGATTTATCCCTTGATGTTAACAGCATTTCTTTTGACAGCATGAGAAAAAGCTAGCGTGACGAGGCTATCACATGGCCAAATCACATGACCAAGTGACAAGTCATCAGAATCCAAGAGAAAATGTAAAGCCACATTGACTACTTGACCAAATATGGCTGTTTTGGTTATTAGATGGACATCATGTGACCCTGTGAGCTTCCCAGGCTGCTGTCATACTAAATCACACACAAACCACACAAACCACAACCGTGATGACAGATGCACAGAGCAGTTGCTGGTACCACCAGGCAGATTTTCTGGAATGTCCTACTTCCCCCTTAGGGAGTGTAATCATCAGCGCACTACCATTAATATCTCCTCCATTTTTGTAGAGAGAGGGGACACACAGCAGCAAAAATAGTTCACCGTTTCATTTCCATATTTCCTTCCACAAGATAATATTAGCATCCATACCGAGTACGTGGGCAGGGTGGGGAAACTGTGACCAGGCACGAGGGACGATGACACGAGGAAGACACCGCGTCGCAGCCCATGTGCTTATTCAGATAACCACAAGGCACACTTGAGCTTATCAATCTTAACCTACCTGGGAAAAGCTAACTGGGACCACTTTTGGGGCAAACTAGTCACAAAGCGGCATGGTGCTTCGTTCAGCTGGCATCGATCCCACGACACATCATACAGCCTTTAATGAAGAAAAACAGCACAACCTTACAGAACAACAGATGAATTAGTGACCATGCTCTAACCAGGAAAGTCTTTGGTGTCAGGACAATGCAATAAATGAATTACTTTATATGAGGCTCAGAGCTAAAATTAATTAAAAAATACTACCAGCAAATCAGTGTGAACGCACCACAGAGATGTCCTGCAAACACACTGAGCCTCTTTGAGTACAAAAAAAGAGCAGCACCCTCTACAGGACACCAGGAACCTTAAGAAAAAAAGAAGCCCAACAGCAAAGCCAAAAATTAATTTGGACGTTAGACACATGGCGCTGTCAACATTACGCACACGCCGCAAAATAAACCACTATCTTTTATTTAACAACTGCAATATTACATTCATTTTTTTTTCTTTTCTTTTCTTTAAAAAAAAAAAAGGTTATACCAAGAAATCGATAAGCAGAAGAGCGTGAACAGCATGACCCTGCAGAGTCTGGGCTTCTTAGGGCTCAACTGTTCAGGGAAGGGAATATCTCAGTTAGGGTGGTCTGTTTGCAGGCCTTGTGTACTACAGGGAGGGGGGACTCTGAGGCAGGCTCCCCCCTCTGGGCCCGGGGGCCCCCACAGCTAGACCCTCGCTGCCTCACTCTCAGCTTCTCTTGCTTCTGTTCTGGTCCAGACTGAGAGCGCCCTCTGCTGGAGGGGTCCGCCGGCACATTGCTGGGACGCTGACGGAGCTGGTACTGGTCGGGGGAGCCCTTGCGCCGGTTCACAACCCGGAGGGCCTCTTCGCGGTCCAGCTGCTGCTGCAGTCTCAAGGCCAGCTGCCGATCCTCTTCCTGCTGCTGCTGCTGGTTCTGCAGCTTCTCCTCCAGATCCACCAGAAGGTCGGCGTGGCAGGACCGCTTTCTGGCATGGCTGTCTGCACCCTCAGATCCAACCTCGGTGCTCTTTCTTTTGCCAGGGGGCTGCTCTCTTACCCACATGGTCCCATGATCTCCAAGGTCTCCATCGTGCCCCATCCAGGAGGCTGCGGCGGTGCTGTCCATCTCAGCTGGCACGGAGGCGGTGCTGTCCATCTCAGCTGGCACGGAGGCGGTGCTGTCGTTCTGCTCCGGCTGGGAGACTCGTGTGTCTGGTTCTCCCCTCTCAGCCTCATTCCCCCCATACACATCCAGCCTAGATCGCTCCTTTGTACCACAATGAGACATTACAGGACACATCAAGCAGCCACACATGCAGAAATCTCTAAGGCACAGTGTTCAGGACTGAAATCAGCATGTAACTTACCACTTCAGTAGAACTGCTGACGGGACCCCTCTGTGCGAGCGGAAGCAAAAACCTACAAATCGGACATCAGAACCCAAGACATAAGGAGTCATGCATTCACACTATGACACACCAACACACACACACACACACACGCACCTCTCTATGTCTCCTGTGTTTGTAATTTTCTTGGCTGATATCTTGCCCGTCGACCGCACCTGTTTTTGAGCTTCTGGGGCTGGACTGGAATTCTGAAAAGACACCCCTGTTTATGTAGGCAAATGAAGATTTTACAAGCCTTGCCCAACCTGTCCCAACACCACCCCTCCCAGCTACCAGCTCCATGCTCAGTATCCTGGCCAGCTTCTCGTCATCCTCCAGCTGTTTCTCCTCCTGCCTTCTCCACTCCTCTGCCAAATGCTCCTCGTCCTCAGCCAGAAGTCGCTGGATGTACTGCTCGCTGGCTGCCTGCTCCGCCTCCTCCAGTGCACGCTTCTCCGCAGCCAGCTGGGGGGGGGGGTTGTCATACAGAATTCTCTGCTCACCATGCGAGTTACCCACAGGGAAACTCATGTCTTTCATGTGAAACAAGCACTGGTTGATTAAAACCTGACACTATTCAAATAATGTCATCATCACCTATCTGATGATTTTATCTAATGCGACTTGTAATAGAAGGGTTACCATTTGTGCGTGTCCCCTGGGATTCAAACCCACAACCTTCGTGCCATTAGCACTGTGCTCTACTTGTTGAGCCTCAGAAGCTTAAATTAACTTAATGATTAATCTACACCTGAAGAATGCTTTCAAAACGTGATTGGATAGTGTTTGTCAACCCCCAAAAGTCTGGAGTCATTCACAGGAGCACAGGCAGACTTGCGCTCGCTCTCGCTCTCTCTCTCACACACACACACACACACACACACACACACACTCACTCACTCACTCACTCACTCACTCTCACCCGGCTAATCTGGTCTTCATACTCCTTACGCAGTTCACCAGGCTGGCTCACTCTTGGTCTGCTACTCACGGCTGGTGGTAGATCAACAGGACAGCAAACCGGGCAGTTATACATTCAGTTCATTAAACTACAGTGTTACCGTAAATCACAGCAGGAGTGTCAGTGGATGCAGGGTTTAGGGAAAGGCTGGAGTCACTTAATCATGTGGAAAAAATATGGATTCAGTCAGTCTAACAGTAAGCATTTTGATGCCGCACCTGCCATGTCCCCCGTGTCCCTGCCGCTGAGCCGCTGCTCACACTGTGCGGGAAAGGTCTCCTGCACACGGCTCCACAGCTCCACGTTGACCAGAGTCTTGTTGCGGCTGTGCATACGAGCCCAGCTGGACACGCGTTTCCGGCACAGGGGGCAGCTCAGGTTGGCTTTGTCCACCGTCTCCAGGAAGCAGGGCTTGCAGAAGGTGTGGCTGCAGGGCAGCGTCACCGGCTCCAGGAAGATATCCAGGCAGATGGGGCAGAGGCAGTCGGCCCGCGACAGCCCCCCCGGCCTCCCCTCGGCCTCTGCCACCGGGGGCATCCCTGCCCGGCTACTTCGTCGTCCAGAGGCCAGTACTCAAACTGTCAGTTACACGACACAGAACCGAAAAACTGCGGTCACTCGAATGCCTGGTAGAAACACATTGTATTTCTGCGCAGGCCGTGGACTCGGCCCATAGGGAAGCTGCGCTGTTGTACCTTTGGGGAGCTAAGCATGACCGTGATTTTACAGGGTATACGAATAATTACAAAGAGAGGCGGCAGATCACACGTACTGGTGACACATTATGAAATGATCAGGACAACCGACTGCAAATTTATAGGCGATAATAAAGGCGCCTTATCTGCTGACTAAACAGTGATCGCCGACCCACCGCGAATCGGTCCGTCTAAAGCCTCTCTACTCCGAAGTTGCCTATTCACCTCAAATCTGTGAACTAACTACCTGACAACAACAAGACGACTCACCGCATGCAATATCCCATCGAATGAAGTAAAATTAGATTCGGCGTCTACAAAACAAACAACAAGTAGTCCCCTAACTCTGAAACGAAACACAGCCTCTCAGCCTACGGCGCTCCGCCGTAAATACGCGCATGTGCGCGCCCTGGCGCCCTGAATTCCCGCGCATGCGCACGCTGTGTCGCGCGGAGATGGCACACAGGAAGTGTTATGAAACACGCTATTAGACTTCCGATTTGGTAAAGTGAATCGGATAAAGAACCAAAGATATATGATTTGTACAGGCGAATGACACTAAACACAGCCAGGGGCGTCTGAAATAAGTGGGACGGGAGTGGGGGGCGCGATATCGGCAGACCCCCCTCCTTCCAAGTGAATGAATGAATGAACGAATGAATAGAAAGTTCCTTATGATTTATTAGGCAGAGCGCGAGGACGAAACGAATAGAAATAAAGATTGTAGTCCTGTATCAGACAAATATTTTATCATGAATCAGTTATATTTAATGTTTTCGTGAAACTATAACCTAAACATGGAAATGCATGGATTTGTCTTATTTACATTTACATTATTTTCATACATGGATATGTCTTATTGAAAATAATAAAATCTTTATTATTGCAAAAATATTATTATTATTATTATTGCAAGTCAGAAACCAAATCCTGAACATATTTGCTTCGTTTTTATTTAAATAATAATAATGCTCAGTGTTATTCTGAACCTTTATCAAAATATTTATTCTGTGTGAATGAACGATAAGCAAGTCAAACGTGAGGAGCAGTTTATTGGCTTATTAACAATTTAAAAAAAAATCTGTAGAAGCTCATACAAATGCACATTCTTGGCATATGAGTAGATGTAAGTGAATAATAATTTAACCATAACTGATTTTTAAAAATACATTTATCATTGCTGTATGGGTGTAGCCTAAACTACTGAAATGACAAAGTCAATTAACTTGTCTATAATATTCCTATAATAATGGGCCTCAAGTGATGAGCCTGCGGTACTGTGCCCTCGTCCTTATCTAATGATGAAAACCTGTCTTCCTTCACCTACAGTCCCAAGGTGAGAGGTCCAGATGAAAACTGGGGATGAGTCCCAGAATTTGGATGAAGCATGGGCCTAATCGAGCACTGATTTAAATCTGCAACCAGGTACCAAAGCGAACACAAGACCACAGGCAGACAGAGCTCATGTTGGTGAAAAATGGATGGAAAACTTTAACATGTAATGAAGAATTTTTGTGCTATGGGTACAAAGTAACTAAGACAGAAGCAAAGGCAGATTAATACATATTATAATTTGGTGTGCATATTAGATTATCAGTATTACTTTTTAAGATTAAGTGCCCTTAGTTCAAACTAACATTCTTCTCAGGTCTGATGTAAACCTTACATCAAAAATTCAGGCTTGATGTAAACCTGGACAGGGTGTGTGGGAAGATACCATCAGCCAAAATGTAAACAGGACCCAACAAATCGTAACAAGGCTTAGCTGTGTTATTATTCTAGGGGGTGCTGTTAAGCCAGTGAGGTCCCATCACAGAATAAACATGCCCCAGCTGGGGGGCTGGGGGTCCTTTTTTGGCAGATCCTGAAAAACGTTTCGTTTGCATATCCGCAGAAAGTGACCTTTGATTTGACTCTGAAGGGATCTTCTTTGAAGTCCAAATATATATTGATCGATTCAGAACCTGGGGTTAGAAGTCAGATAGAAGGTCGGCCATGATCTTCGGAAGCAGAAGGCAGCGTGGCTGTGGAGGGCTCATAGTCCCTACATCGGTGCCTCAAGGTCTGCACTAGTTCTTGCATCTCCTCTGAGACTAATTTCTTGCCCAGGGACTACAGAATGAGAGAGAAAAGAGGATAGAGAGATAGGTGCAATTTTAGGCTTTGGACAGTTTGCTCTACATCAGGGTTATTCAACTCACGGTCCTCGAGGTCCGAGCACTGCTGGTTTTCCAGCCTTCCTTTACCTGTCAGTCAGGTGTGAAGCCTCTGACCAATCCGAATCAGTAATTATTAAACAACTACCTGGGTGAACTGAAAACACGACCTGGATTTGGAATCGAGGTCCAGAGTTGAAGAACCCTGCTCTACATCTTTGCTCCTCACATGAGCAACAGAAGACAAGAAAACAGGGCAAGGATGCGTGGTGGAAAAGAAGGGTATGGTGTGGGTATTGTACGGGTGTGGTACGGGAGTGATGCGGGTGTCGTGTGGGAGTGATGCGGGCATTACGTGGGAGTGATGCGGGTGTCGCGTGGGAGTGATGCGGGTGTCGCGTGGGAGTGATGCGGGTGTCGCGTGGGAGTGATGCGGGTGTCGCGTGGGAGTGCCCGTCTCACCTGGTTCTCAGCCAGCGCCTCTTTGGCCATGTAGTGCTCCCTTTTTATTTTGACCTCCACCTCCTCTGGAATGTCTGGAACCATCATGTCGATCAGACGGGCAACAAAGAATACAACATGCTGTGGAAGGAAGAGGTGGGGAGACAAAGTGACTCGTTTTACTCGGCTTCAGAAAGATAGATGCTGCATTTCCACAGAACAACATAATCTAACATTAGTGGCACAGACGATTGCTTTTTATCAAAATTAAACTGACTTCAAAAATGATGACAAAACCCAGACGTATGGCCAAAAGGTGGAAGTATTCAGGCAGGAAATGTCCTTGGGAGTCCCTGTAGCCTCGGTACCTGCGTGTTTTAGAAAGCAGAGTTCTTAGAAATGTCCAGGCATTGGAGAGCAGCAGCAGCTGATGCTGTAGCACTGGAAAAACTGCTCAGTAGGTGTGGAGTCTCTGCTGACACAAAGCATGACATTGCATGCTGGGAAAGAGGGGTGCGGTCCTACAGTACCTGCACAGAGTTTGGTTCTGGGTGTAGCTCAGTGGAGCTATAGCCAGAGTGGAGTTGATGTAGCCCTCTAAGCTCCCATCATTGGTGTATCTGTAGTACAGGCGTGGCAGGAAGTCGGATGTGAAAGCGATAAGGAAGGCCTGCCGTGGAAACAATGGAAACGGTCGTTACCATGGCAACAACTCCCCTCTACTTCGAAAAGCAGCATGAAGCCCACAGCGGCAAGTAGACGTGCAACAATGTCTCACATTGCTGATGACTGCCAGGTGGCAGATGACGTGCAGGATGGTGAACCAGATCCCGATGTCCTGGGCACGCTCCACAACCGGCCGCCGGTATTCACACACAAACTTCTGCGCATCCAGACGCACCTCCACCCAGTTGTTGAGCAGTGCAAAGAGGGGAGCCAGAGGACATGCGGCCACAAATATGGTGATGAAGCCAAATTGAAGCACTGCAAGAGTCAGAGAGGCACTCCATCACCGTCTCACTGTGTCACGCTGTCCAAGTCACACTGCTTCATAATTCACTGCATGATGATGTCTCACTGCATCACATTTCACGGCATCAAACCGTCTGCCATTCTCTAAAATGTCCAACTGAATCACACTGTCTATGTTGCACTGCCTCACATTTCACTGCATCACAACGTCTCACTGCCTCACATTTTACCACATCACGATGTCTTACTGCATAACATTGTATATCACACACTGCCTCACATTTCACGGCACCATGACACCTCACTGCATCACGCTGTCCATGTCACACTGCATCGTTTCTCTATATCACACTGTTCATACCATTCTATATTGCAACATTTCACTGCATCATTAAGTCTAACTGCCTCACACTATCCATGTCACTCATTGCATCATAATGTCAATCTGCGTCACAAAGATTCACTGCAGTATACTCTCCTAGTATCGCATTGCTTCATACTGACACATTATTTCAGACTGCCACTCACCCATCTCCAGATACTCAGCGAACAATCCTTCGCACACCAATAGCTGGTAGTCTTTTTCCCAGGGTGTAGCTATTTCTTTATTCAGACTCCTCTTGCCCTCCATATCCTTGTCATTTTCTCCATTGTGACGGAGCTTCCGGTTTTGCCACCAGGTCTGCAGCTTTCTACACAGTGTAAAGGGACCGTAAATAAAGCACAAAACAGAAACAGTGTCAATGTACACTATCCGGACAAAAGTCCTGGGACACACTTCTCAATCATTGAATTCAAGGGCTTCATTCAGACCCATAAAATGAACCGGCTGGCCATGCAGTCAGGTTTACAAATATTTATGAAAGAATGGGTCGTTCTGAAGAGCTCAGTGAATTCAAGCGTAGTACTGGCATAGGATGCCACATTTGCAATAAGTCAGTTTGCGAAATTTTCTTCCTGCTAGATATTGCATGGTTAACTGTTACTGGTATTATTGCCAAGTAGAAGCATTTAAGAACAACAAAAACTGAGCCACTAAGTGACAGACCACGTAACGTAACAGAGCGGGGACACCGAGTGCTGAGGCGCATAGTGTGTAAAAGTCGCTCACATTCCATTGACTCACTAACGGCAGAGTTCCAAACTTTTGCTGGTATTAACTCCAGCACAAAAACTGCGGCAGGAGCTTCACGGAATGGGCTTCATGCAAGCCTCACATCACCAAGCGTGACGCCAAACGTCGGATGGAGTGGTGTAAAGCACGGCGCCACTGGACTTTGGAGCAGTGGAAACGTGTTCTGTGGAGTGACAAATCATGCTTCTCTTTCTTGCAGTCTTATGGACGAGTCTGGGTTTGGTGGATGCCAGGAAAACATGCCTGACTGCATTGTGCCGACTGTAAAGTTTGGTGGAGGAGGGATAGTGGTGTGGGCTTGTTTTTTAGGGGTTGGGCTTGGCCTCTTAGTTCCAGTGAAGGGAACTCAATGAAGGGAACTTAATTTGGACAATTCAATGCTTCCAACTTTGTGGGAACAATTTGGGGAAGGCCCTTTTCTGTTCCAGCATGACTGTGCCCCAGTGACCAAAGCATGGTCCATGAAGGCATGGTTGAGAGATTTTGGTGTGGAAGAACTTGATTGGCCCACACAGAGTCTTGACCTCAACCCCACCATTGGGTGGAACTAGACCGGAGATTGTGAGTCAGGCCTTCAGTTCCAATATCAGTGCCTGACCTCTGGATGAATGGGCAAACATTCCCACAGACACACTCCAAAATTTTGTGGAAAGCCTTCCCAGAAGAGTATCAGCTATTATAGTGTATAATTGGAAATATGTAAAACAGAAAACAAAACTAATGGTATGGCTGTTAACAGAGGGTGGTGTGGGTGGAGATGGTTTGGCTGTTGGTCGAGGAGACAGTACTCACGGAAAAAGAAACTCCTGGATATTGTTGATAACCTGCTTGCCCACCATTATAACCAACAACTCCTGGGCCAGCTCAATAAGGCAGCCTCCTGCACCGCACTGCACACAGCATGGGAATCACATGGTTTAAACATGCTAAACATGAGAGTCACACACTGAACATGGAACAGATAGAAGTAGGAGCTCACATCTTCATTACGAAATCCCAGGAAAGTGTAATAGTTGCCAGGATAACCCACAAACCTGGGAATAAGAGGAAACTATGTGAGAGTCTTGCTTATTTTGCCTTTCATTATAATCACTAGTGTGAGCAAGGTCTCCAAAATTTCACAGAACTGTTTAGCTTTCAATGTGACACTCAGGACATTATACAGGTGTTGGTGTGTCTGGAATTTTGCAGCCAGGTTAAGTCTACAAGGGGGAGGAAGCTGGGAGATATCTAGCAGCTTGACTTGAGTAACATGCTGGTAGGATTGGGTCACATTTCTGGAGGAGAACATAGGTTGGCCATGTCCTAGTGTGGTGGACTCACCTGCCCTTGAAAAAAGCAATGTAGATGGGTGAAGAATAGAAGTTGACAAACTGGAAAATGAAGACCTTCAGAATGAATGCATCCTCATACTCAGTCTGAGTGCGGTGCATCTCTAATATGGAAAAAAGATAAATGTGTTGAGGCAGATGAGGAAACCAGAAACTGCACATTCAGCCCATGTACGTAAACAACCAGGAACCACCATGAACAAAAATATTAAACTATATAACCAGAGAAGTGTTGCCATTAACACAATAAATCAATGAAGTATTTCTGGGTTTGATGCCAAAATAAGTAGAATTTCTGGAGTTTGTCCTTCGCACCCCAACGAGTCAGAACATGGGCCAGGTAAGTGTAGAGCCTGGATAATAGCAGGATCACTGCCAAGTTGAGCACAGAACCAGTGAGACTCGCTATCCTCCCGGCCTGTAGGGGAGCACAACCAGAACCACAGCAAGGGTTGGATTTTCAAAGGACTCAATTAGACTCAATTAGATCAATTAGACTTAGGAAGGCTGGGTAACTCACAGCAAAGATGAAGAAAGGACTTCTAGACCCATAGATGATGATGCTGACTATGGTCCTGTACAGGATTATGGCCATCAGGAAAATCAGAACTATAGCCAGCTGAGAGGGACAAAAAGTGACAGTGCTGAGCCCTGAGAGAGCACAGTGTGACCTGGCAGCCATGCAGCATATCAGAGTATGGAAGGGGAGACTGTTAACCACTGACACAATTGGGACTGCCTCTGCCCTTGGTAGCCATGTTACCACAGTGATGATGTCACACAAATAGCGTCTCACCATGACAATAATGACCATGCAGCTCGTTATTGTTCGGTTGAACCGGCGCCTCTCTGGAAAGTAGGGCTCCTCAGCGCCTGTAATAGGATTGCGTATGGTCATGGGCGCCATAGCGGTGAATTCTGGCCTTGGGCGTTCCTGGCTCGTAGAAAAAGTAAAGAGATTTGTGGTCCTCAGGAAACTCATCATGTCCAGTGTTTTGACTCCTAAGTAATGATGTTAAATCCACATAACTCTCAAAAAGAAACAAGTGGTCTGTTAAATACAACGTTTTAAATCACACTACTTCAAATGGGTTAACAGAAGAGTTGCTGTACTGTAATTTTCCCATCTCAAGTAAAGCTTAGCTAGAACAAAGCATTTTCCCTGCAGTTGGGTGAGGCCCACAGTTTCCCATTACATGCACCCACCCGACAGGGTACCAAGGCGTCAGCGTAAAGCAACTTTCTGCATGCACTAAAGCGCCGCTTCCCTCCTTCTCGTCTTCTTGTTACCTCAATCTCCTCAAACTCAGAGCAGTCCCAGCGATGGGCCAACACTGCGCTGGTGCGTTTCCAGTACTCCAGGAAGGTGATGGCCCACAGGGACATGAAGATGCTGAAGAACACCGTGCCGCCATGGTCAAAGAGTATGCCCAACTTCAGGGAGCAGAGACACAGTCAGTCTGAGATTGGACAGGACAGCCTGTGCATTATTCTCATGGACAGAGAAGACATGCAACAAACCTTGAAGGTGACACAGATGCTGGACAGGTTCCATTGGGAGCAGATGTTGCAAAGTGGACACATAACATAGGTATCCCCACTGCTGCAGACCTCCATTCTGCAAGGCACAGGAAGACGTGTCAGGCACAAGAACACAGAAGCACTGGCCTCTTACTGAGAACTGCAGCCCATGTGTACTGAAGGCTGTGACATGGTTTTTCTCTGTTTACTTTTCCTGGAGACACAATCACCCGTATACCCTGTAAATAGTCCTGAATAAGGGCTTTGTGCCGCTCCTGTGAATTCTTCTGTATCACTGCCAGTGTTCGCAAAGCTGAGCCCTGTCCACTCACACTGGCACATCTACGCTCATCAGCCAGATCCCAAACAGGAAGATGACTAATCCCACAACAGCAGCAGGCAGCAGCCAAGTCGTGTAGAATCCTGCAGAAGGGGAACAGCAAGGACCTCAATGAGAGCAATACCCACCACACAGTATTCCTCACGTGATGGTCCAGCTGAAAATCATTTATTCAGAAATGCGCTCGTAAGTGTCTGCACTGCAGAGAGTCACAGAGGAGGGCAGGAACGGTGGAGTCTATAGCCTGGGATTGGAGGTTGTAGGAGAGGAGTCCCATACCTAACCAGGCGAAGTAGAGAGCAATCTTCTCTCCAAAATACTCGCGGACATGGTCCAGGGGCTGATAGCGTCTCCAGCAAGCCCAGCGGGCCCAGTGTTGGTACAGAATCTGCCTCAGGCCCAGGGACTTCGGCACCATTGGTTCTCCTGCCACCTGAAATGGACCCTGAAGCATGGCAGTGCAACAGAGCGACTTTCAGCAGGTCCATGTTCCCCGGCAGTCTAGCTGGATGTACGGGTTGGCGGTGGGGGGGGGAGGGGGATTTTTATCTTGGGCGGTGGTCTCACCTCATGCAGGGGGTATGCAGCAGTAAAGACCTTCTCGCTGACCAACCTGTCGACCCCCACTTCACCTCGATTTATCAACCCATATGGGGTCCGGGCCAGAATCTCATACAGCTTCACACGTAGTGGGAGAGAGAACAGATAGACAGACAGACAAAAAAACAGATAGACACAGACAGACGGAGAGACACAAGCCATTTTCCCACATCAGAAATCAGAATTAGTTTTATAGGCCAAGTAAGGTGACACAAGGAATTTGTCTTGACGTTTCTCTCCAGTACAAACAAGACAATAAACATTAAATAATTAGATAAACATAAAAGAAAAAATACAGGTATGGGGTAATAAACAAAACTCTACTGCAATACTGCAAATTGTAAATATATATGCTCTAGTTGTCTAGTATTATCTAGTCTAGTATTTTGTTTTCCGACTGGCTCAGTTTTAAATTTGTCAAATTATTTTGTTTCTAACTGGCACAACAGCTATGAGGCCCACTGGGAATTCTGCCGAGCCTCCCGATTGGCACACAACTGGACACAATCGGTGTCAGATGCATTCACTCCTACTAGACAATCCAGTTGGTTTAGGTGAGGGGTGGCGCTTGGGTAGAGCATACAGGAGCAGGAAATGATCCAAAAAGTACACAGTGGAAATTGCAGTGTTTTATTTACAGCATATGGTGCCTTAGTTCGGATTACACTGCGATCATGTGCCAGTTTGTAGCTTCATAATACACTACTGAGTCTCTTGCTGTGCTTTGAATCTGTTGCACAATTTTGGCGACAGATTTCACTTTTGCGGGGATCCTCACCTTTGCGGAGATCTTTGCTAATGACAAGGGGTGACTGTACTCTTAAAGAGTTTGCATGTTTAGCCGAAGTTGTAGACAGGTTTACCAAAAAAGTCCGGTACTGATTTGGACATTTACGTTCACACATATAGCCCCTCTGGGAAATGTCTAGAAAAGTTCATGTCTAAAAAGGGCTGCAGATGGGCAGACAAACTGAAGGACATAGACAAACAGACAAAAAGAGGAATAGACTGCCAGACAAAAGCAGGCAGTCAGATGGACAGAAAAGCACGCCATCAGAGAAAAGTAGACTCACAATCTGGTGTCTCTGGGTTGTCTTGAAGAAGGTCTCTTTGTTGTCACTCCCCAGAAACCTGCAGAAAGGTTCAAATTCACGTTGGCACTGTACATAATGATATGAATTGCTGGGACAAAACAAACAAAACTAATGTGGAACTCGAGGAATGACTCATTGTCATGTGTACGTGAATCCTTCCCAGTATGTCAGTGTGTGAATTCCTGGTCCAGTTGGCATGTTTGCCAGTTGTCCCAGTTTATGACAACACCTTGACTGCAAACACAGGTGTGTTCAGGCTGCCACAGCCGTCACAGTTCACCATAAAGAGGGAATGATGTATTCACACTCCAACTCACACTCATACAGTACATAGATACTTACTCTGCACAAGCCTACAGTACATACACACTTGCAGTAGGTACACATACAATGCAAGTATGTGCACACACTGTTTACACACATGCAGTGCAAACACATATCATACACACAGAACATACACACGTACAACACACACACATAGGTACAGTGCGCACACTTCACCTCTCGAGCTTGTTGGTGCGAAACTGACAGGTGTAGAAGTGTCGTGGCGGGCTGGGAACGTCCTCGATCATGATATTTGGGATAGACAGCTTCTTTAAAATCTTCTCTGATCCGTGCAGGCTTGTGTGTGAGACTTCCTGCATAAGACCCGTCACTTTGGCATGAATATGTCTGTTATATTTATATCTAAACACGTTTTTCTAAGCTAATCATGGCTGAAAATCTGTACAAGTGATACAATTTTTAAACTGTCCATATTGAAATTGCCTATCCTGGTCAGAGACATAGGGACTATTTTCATGCATTTTAACAAAATTATAATATAATATCATGTTACAGTGCCACCAAAAACAAAGTCATGACATTGCTGTATGAAAAATACAGTACAGTAATTTTTAGTGGGTGTTGCTGGGTTATGTCAATTTTGTAAGGAGTGTCATATGACAGACTGACCTCTAGAGGCACCCTAAGGCTTATTTCCTCTGCATAATAACATAAGACACTCCAGGGGGCGCTGAGAAGCAAATAGGTGATTTGTTTCTGCTCCTGGTCCACGACCCTCTAAAAGGCAGAAGGATGTATAGGTGATACAGGTAGCCAGATATGGCACAGATACGACTTTTGCAGAAAAATTAAAACAATTATTATTATTCTCAGCAATACGATTATTTTTCATTCTGTTATCAAGAAATGCACCACACACATCTAATGGCGTTTTTCCACTGCTGCACTGGAACCGACTCGTACCCGAACTGCACGACAAAGATAGCCTAGTTACAGCGTGGTTCCAGTTTGCTTCTGTTTTCCACTGCAGATGGGTTGGCTCCGTGAAGGCGATGTCGTGTTTGGACCGTGACAGTGACGTAAAACCAGAGAGACACTTATTTACTGTTCACATGTTGTACATCGATGATTTACTATAAGCAATTACAATTATTATTATATTATTTTACTGCATGTATCATACTTTTTTAAGACGGATGTTGGAAATTTTCTGAGTTATCGGGAATGCATTAATACATCGCGATGTGTGATATTATTAATAATTAATAATATATAGAATACGCAGTTTTTTCCTAAAGATAATCCATGCGTATCGACGCGGATCACTGGTATCTCCGTGCATTTTGACGAATGAGACGGTGGTCGCCCGTCCAGCTCGATTTAGGCACACTTTCTGCCCTGCTTACTGCATGGGTACGAGTCAGGTATGGCTGTCATATCTTGCAATGGAAAACTGTCAGTTCACACTATGAGTTGGGTGTGGCTCGGTTCTGGGTGACAGTGGAAAAGCCCCATAATTACTGCTGCTCTGGCATATAGGTGAATTTTATTCAAATATTTGGATTCTGATACCATGCTGTTTGCTTAATGTGTGACATGAAATTTATGTGAGAAATTCAGAGCAGGTGACAAATAATCCAAAACAAGTACAATGCAAAGTTCAGACATACAGTGAGTCTAACTGGTTGTGAACAACTATTATCCTAAACTTAATCTTAACGCTAATACATGTCATGGACAAATCCTGCTTATTGGAGTTAATGCTGTTCAAATATTTACATAGTTATGTTACTTCAGATATCTTGAACAGAGGCATGATGAGCATTAAATAACATGCCTTCCTACCCATAAGCACTCTCTACCTTCTCTTGAAGAATCCCTGATGCCTGTAGTCTAGACAGGAAATTCTCGCGTGATTGGCCACTGGAGTCTGAGATTTGGGGACTCTTCCTGTCTGCCAGTCCATCTGTTAGCTGTGTCCGGTGCTCCTCCCACACCAAAACAAAGTCTGTAAACACGGAGCTGTCAAGTCTTCCAGCTTAAAGAGGCAATGGGGGCTACAGGAAGCTCACTGAGGTGTGGGCAGTAGTGCTCACCGATTTGGGTGGTGCCATCGCTGAATGTGTTGCTGTGTGTAGGACTGGACTGGTCCTGGAAAGGGAGATGGACACATGGATAAGCAGCGCTGTTAGACACCTGGAAATTGACATGTTGACATTTTGTATATCTGGCATAGATACATCAGTCATTTTTCCTACATTGGTGAACCTACAACTTAGGTCATGATCATGTTAATCCTAGTAGCCAGGATTGATGATGCAGGAAAGTGCTACGCGTTTATTTTGGGATGCAGTCCGGAGGGGTTAGGGTTAGTTAGTTCTGGCGAGAGCTTCAAGGGAGTGACTGTGAACTTGTCATCGCTGATGCCGCCTTTAATCATGGCCCTAATGGATTTCTCGTCCTTCACTCCTGCAAACAGGATGCTGATGGCAGATGGGTGAACTCACCCCAGCTTCTATGCTGCCATAGCTCTGCTCTGCTGGCACCTCCATAGCAATGAGGGTGTGGTTGTCCTCTTCCGCCCTTCTGTTCTTCATCCTGGTTCCTTGTAGCAGTTGTCCTGGTGACACATGGGGTGGTGAGGCCGTGTGCCAGCTCTGCGCCAGCAGTTCGGGGGTGTCTATCTCCACAGAAGAGCCTTGAGTTGTCAAGCCCCCCAGACCTTACCGTCCTGTCTACTGAACATGTCACCTTCATCCCACTATTACGACTAAGCATATAAACTGGTTGAGTACAGTCATCCCTTCACATCTGTGACGATTAAAGGCACAAGATCCCAGCAAATGTCAATAATACCAACATCAGCCCACATCAGTCTGCGTGTTTGACCGATAGCATCAGTTTATTTATTACAAATTTCTAAACAAACAGTACCACACTGGCAGACTTTCTGCTGCGAAGCTTATCTTGCAGTTCCAGTTTTTTGTGTCAGTCATCACAGGAACTTTCAGAAGCACTGGGAACGCTACGTTTCAGACTCATTATTACAAATGCAAAATTAATGGCATGGAAAAGTTTAAAATGTATTGCGAGGAACATGAGATTCAACAGTAACAAAGACAGCGAACATTTCAGAGGCTGGTTTCTGAGACAAAGATGCACGGCCTTCCTGAGCTGAGGTGCGTAGATCATATTTGAGATGTGCATCATATATATTTTACCAAAATTAACTTTTAATTTTAAAGAATAAGTATGCACTTACACTGACTGATATTATATAACACAAATATTTATATATTACACGATGTCATCCAAATCATTTTCGGTATTATTTACGCCTATATATTCTTGGCATACATGTCGTTTGTGAGTTTCTGCGATCTTTTGGCAAGCTCCAAAAAGATTCCCACTTATTCGATGTGAAGCTCGCTCTGCGACATGAAGGTAGCCTCGTTTGGCGTGGTACTGCTGTGTCCACAGGTAGCTGTGACCCCTCCCTCCTTCTCCCTACCTGACTGTTTCTTCCCCAGAGGATTTTCTTGATTGTGACTTCACACTCTCACCATCCGGTGTCCTGAACTCCCAAAAGCAAGTGCTAACAATGAGCAACCCGATTCTGGTCCTGGACCGGACCCAGGGGTGTCAACAGCCGTTTCGGAAGCACACACGGCCCCTCATCCGTGGGAGCGAACTTATGCTCCAGTGAGGACAAGCAGAGTTACAGGAGGACTTCCTTACAGGAGTGTGCCAGCAAGAGAGAGGGGGAGGAGAGTAAGAGAGCACATATTTGCGGAGGTGGAGTTACCTCGTTCTCTCCTTCGCTCCACCCTTTCATTTAATAGGCATATACGGCAGGTATCGTGGAGATCCTAGCCAGTGGCGCCTCCAGAAAATTTTCATAGGGGTGGCCAGATGGGGCCACTGAAAATCTTGGGGTGGCACACCAAAACCAAAAGTCGAGCTGAATTTCAGGAATTCTGACATAACATATACAGGGCTGTCAAGTTTTGAAGACAGGCAAGAGTGACATTCCACAGGATGCCTTTTCATTGGTTGTTGTGTTGTATTTTACCCAGATACAGTAGTACTATTTTCTGATTGGCTATTGTGTAGGCCTTTCTTTTTTTTTTGATTGGCTGGTAAGTGACAGGCTCTTCGGGCAAATCTTGTCCGACTTCATGAAAGAGGCGTGTTTCCGACGGGAAGCGACGTTTTTCTTGATGTTTCTTGACTTTTTTTTCTAAACTCAGAATTCTGAGATTAAAGTCAGAATTCTGAGAAAAAAAGTCAGAATTCAAATAATATTTTCATGGTGGCCCTAATCCTCTTCCGTAGTGGCGGGAGTGCGTGACAAAAGACTGAAAAGAGTGACTGTCACTCTCAATGCGTGACACTTGAGAGCCCTGCATATATACCAGCACCAGCTAACATTAGTTAAGTAATTAAATTTATCATGCCAAAAAGCAAGTTAAATAGCATGTAGCACCAGCTAACGATAGCAAGGTAATTAAATTCGGCACTAAAAAAACGTCACTACAGCCTCCAAAGTTTATTGAATAAATAGTTTCCACTCTTCTTTTTAGAAATTATGACTTACTCAGTCACCGGTCGTCTTCTTCCTTAAATCCGCACGCGACCGGCGTTTGTTGAAGATGACCAGAGACGTGCCGAGCTGCTGCTTCCTGTCAGCACCCCCACCCCCTGTGTGACTGGAGAGCGCTTCGCCGACCGTGCATTTGTTGAAATGCATAATTAAACATAAAAGCATATCTGGCATATGCGACCGATGAGGGGGGGGGGGGGCAACAAATTTATCAGGGCCACTGGCCACCGCATGACGGCGCCACTGATCCTAGCTCCTGGCCCATTCCAGGACGAAACAACCGCTTGTCACGTCCAGAGACAGAGGTTATGGGCGTAACAATGTCTGCATAGTCCTCCTCCGTATATGCAAGAGCATGTCCATGAGGAAAGGGAAACGACTGCATGCTCATACTTCTGTTTCACTGAAAAGCCGTGTCTATGGCTGCTTATGAAGCAATTACTCCAAAAGCACAACAGCTGCATATACTTACAATACGCATTCAGTACATGAAACTAACTGTGGAGGCATCTATTAAAGTGGGTACAATACTCCCTCTACTGTTCTGCAAGGAAATCTCTCCAGAAATGGCTAATTATTGCACATTTGGAAATGTAACAGAATACTTTTACAAGAACCCCAACCTAAAACCAGAGGGGCAACTGCTCGGTTATTAGCTTTGCTGCATCTTAGACATTAAATGAGTTGAGGTACTTGGCTTTTAGAACCCTAATTCTAAAACCAGATGGGGTAATAACTTATCCCATTTTTAATTTAAAAAATACTTTGACCAGAAGTCTGCAGAACATTTAGCAGAAAGTAAGAGGGCAGATCTTAATTTCTTAATTTTCATTGAATACCCATTCAAATCCCTCCCCCCCTCACACGGAAAAGCGATTATCAAAGCTGAATATAATGCAGCACCAGCTGCTGTAGCTACTATTTGCGCAGCGTCCACTTCTTTTGTACAGGTCTTAAATTCCATTGAAAATGACAAATGAAGTTCTAGAACCGCTTCAGGAACCCGGCTTCTGTTCTCCTACATTAGGGGTAAGCAACCCTGATCCTGGAGAGTCAGACCCCAGCAGGTTTTCTATCCTACCTGATGAGTTGCTCTCTGCCCGAGATCTGGTGAGCTTCATCAGAAACCAGGTAGGATGGAAAACCCGCGAGATACTCCACCACACACCCATGAAGTTGTGCAGATCAAGGAAGCACAGAGGAAGAGCAGGTGACACGATGACCAGCAGGTGGGGTTAAACACTTTATTTCTGGGTATAATCTACATAGGAATGCCGAATGCCTCCCAGGGGCAGTTACCATACAGGCAGAATCCAAAAGGATACAAAAACACTGAAGAGCAGAAGAGAGAAAATATAACACACAATTCAAAGGAAGGCAGATCAAAAAGAGTGATGCACGCTGAGTAAGAGCAGGAACGGTGCTTACAGAGGAAGACCCCTCTCACACACACCCACACACGCTTGGCCTGGGAAATAAGCACTTGTCATTGGCTGGTTACTTGCTCTGTGGGCAGCGGGACGGCAAGAACGGGAACAGGGAATGTGAGCTGGATGTGTCGACGAAGCGAAACCGGCGCCCAAGAACGAACATTTCAAGCTGGCCGTTTAATACGTCACCGTCCAAGCCCAACTCCAAGATTGACGTAATCTGATGCCGGAGTTTAATCCTGGACACGGCTGTCGGACAGATGCCTGCAGTCACCAGGCTCATTAGCAGAGGCACGAGACAATCAAGGCATAATGCGAGTGCACAACTCTTTCGTACTGAGAAACCTACAATGCATTTGCAAATGCAAATTTTAACTCGCATGGATCACGTTACATTCGGAAGGTACTTGCAACATGGGAAATGACTTCGGTTACAAAATATAATTTAAGTAAAATACAGCCAGCAAAATGGAGTGATTAACAGGTATTTTTCCCCAAAGCAAATCCAGCAGGACTGAACTGGCAAGTTGCAGCTAGAAAACATTCAGCTTCCTTAGGGATGCAGCTCTCTATAACACCCACTCCTCATCTAGACAATTGCACACAGTCTTATATGGGCTGGTTGACTGGCATAACTCTGTGAAAGCATCTCCCTTATAAATACTAATCACCAGAAATGAACTTTTCTTTGGCAAAAAGCAGTGAAAATGAGACAAATAAAAAAAACCAAGTGGTGGGCAGTCCAGACAAGCACTTCCTGTGAGGTCACTTCCTGTGATGTCACAGTGGTTTTCCTCTGCTGCAGAAAGCAGAGGTTGTAAACAGGGCACTCAGGAGACACAGAAGCAGCAGAGGGAGGAGAGGTGACCCACCCCCCTGAGCTGCTCCCTAAAAGGAGTTCAAACACAGAAAGCCACTGTCAGAGGCTTGAAGCCCTGGACTTCACTGCCCTCCTCTTCCTCATCCTCTACCACACCTCACAGCGCTGGCCGGGGTTCATGGGGGAGCCGACAGGGCAGTTGAAGTGCTCGGAGAAGTCAGGGGAGTTTGACAGTGTGCCGATGACACGGAAACGGGGAGGGCTGTGAGGGTCAGTCATGAGTCCCTCGTGGGCGCTCTCTGGGGTGCGCACTGAACACCACACCTGGGGGGAGGGGTAGAGGTTAACGGCATACACACAATGACCACATTGGGGCGGGTGGCACTACACACAGATGCATGCAAGATACCTCACCTGAGCAAATCCCACAAAGAAGAGTTGGTCATTTGTCATATCGAGGGCTGGCAGCCTCTTCTCTTCCCCATTGGACCGTACCCATGATTTATATGCCTGTGGAGATGATTAAGTCACCATGACAACAAGCCCCACCCCCTCAGATTGTTGCGCATCATCTATACAACCACCCCGCTTACATGATAGGCAGCCTTCAGTCCACCATTGTCTGCCATGTTCTCTCCCAGTGTCTGCCGTCCATTGATATGCTCCCCATTGATGGCATACTGGGAGTACTGGTCCACCATACACTCCGTGCGGTTCTTAAAAGCTTCTACTGAACTGTTCTGCCACCAGGGACGAAGGGTTCCATCCTTGTCGTACTCCCTTCCTGTGGGCAACCGGAGCACATCGAGTGATGTTACTTGCACAGTTCCACTTCCTGTGGCCAATGGGGAAAAGACATCAGCCAGCGTCTTACCCTGGTCATCAAAGGCATGGGTAAGTTCATGGCCCATCACCACCCCAATTCCCCCAAAGTTTAATGCCCTGCAGGGAGAGAGAAGAAAGTGGTCTGAGGTGACCAAGGCCTGGGGCTAGAATCACTACACTCAGCAGAGTGGAGGTCACTCACTTGGGGTGGTCCCGTGCATAAAACGGCGCCTGCAGGATTCCAGCAGGGAAGACGATCCCATTCTTCGTGGGCATGTAGTAGGCGTTGACTGTAGGAGGCGTCATGCTCCACCTGAGAAGGAAGTGCAAGACCGCAACCTTTCATGGCTGGTCGTGAGGAGTCGCAAAACGACCTGAACGTTTCAGATCCTCCTCTGACTCACGGATGCCCAATTCCGGAAACCAGACCCAAAATTCACATTGCAGCTTTGATAAAGAACACCTAACTGATGCAGGAGATGGAGGAGGGAGGACAGGGGAAGGACAGGGGAAGGACTCACTGGTCTCTGTTGGGGGGCTTGCGCAGCTGGTCAGACATCACTTTAGCAGAGAAGTTGTAAAAATTCAGTGTGTTCTGGAAGAAATTGTCCTCCGAGACTTCATACTGCAGAAGGCGACAAGGACATCCTAACGATATGCTACAAACACAGGCGGGCAGTGCGGCATTTATACAAAGACATGGCAGTATGTAGAGTGTGTGGCATATGATAAGCCACACCCCTTTTACTCACGCCGTCATAAACATCATCTAGCTCCTTGTTCTCCAGAATGAAGTCTGGGAATCCAATCATGTCATAGATTGCATCTGCCTGCATTGGGGGAGAAAAACTGGTCCAGTCAGTAGGTCAAACCAGAACCACACAGAGATTTTTTAGCGGGAACATCCAACAAATTCCTGTTTTAGAGTCATTAATGACCCCCAATGCTTTGATCTGAACGCAGAAAAAAAAAGCAGTGATTTTCAACCCAAGTTCTGAAACTGTCACGAGGCAGAGTTGGAAACGTAAGCATTTTAAAACCAGAACACACCAAACCACAGATGCTGGCACATTGAATCATTTGTGCGATAGGCATTGATCGGCGTAAATTGCAGAGTGCACTGCGTGTTTGATCAGTGTTAATTTAAACCTATACTTGATAGAGGGTTGTGACCGAGCTGACGCGGTAAAAATTGGGTGAACCCTTTAAACCAGTGGTTCAGAGTTTTATAAGTTACCACACACACACGCACGCACGCGCACACACACACACACACACACCTTGTCCTTGGCCGCTTGTCGGGTCTGGGAGTCCATCCAGGAGAGCTCGTCCAGGGCATCCTTGAAAGCTGTACGGATCTCATTGATCATCCCTTCGGCCTGTATAGAAGGCAAGCGCATAACGTCACAATTGGCAGAAGTAACTGCTATTATACCCACTGAGAGGCAAAAAGACTGAGTTAGCGTTTAGCTCAGACGCCTCGAAAATATCCAAAATGGGAAAGTGCCGTTGTGCAACTGATTGTACAAATCGATTTAACAAGAAATTGGAGCTCTCTTTTTACAGACTGCCGAAAACTAGAGAGAAACAAATGGGTTGCAATCCGCAGCAACAACTGAAATCCAGGCCCCAAGATGTGGATTTGCGGTTGTTGTTTCGTGTCAGTTATTAGATTTTTCGGTAAAATCATCTCTTAAATTATATACTGTACTGATTACATATCAATTAAATATTTAGCATCATTCATTTACATTGTGTAACTAATGTTTTGTCAACATTTATCAAACATCCTTGATGAGCCTTGTTAGATAGATAGTTAGATAGTGTTAGCTAGCCAAGATAAACCCAGTTCTTATATGAGCTGCAGCAGCCAATAATGTACTACCATTAATGCAATAACTGCCAATGATTTCCATTCTTAATGTAAAAAGCTGATAATGTAATAACGTCACTGACATTAAGGAAAAATTACTACGTTGTTGAACAGACAGGTAAACAGATCATTTTAATAGTTGACAAAAATATATGTTGTCAGGAAACCTGATTCCTGGTCACACATCAATGTCAATGGTCCTCTGGTGCTTTGGGAAGTTGTTCAGCTGCCTGGAATTTAAGCAGGTGATCATTTGTTTTATGGTTCCCCCCCCCGACTAAAATCTCCCACTCAGGCCACCTGAAGGGGGCGTGTTCCAGTGGGAAGGTGCTGCCAGTGCATACCCTTCATACAGACCATCATATGGCGAGGAGAGCAGACAAGCCACGCCCACACTGGAGAGAAGGTCCCCATGATAGAAGCATATTGTGCACAACCTGTTAGATGAGGGGCCTGACTTAACTAAATTTGAATATTCGTCACATTAAGTGGGTGTCAAACATCTGACCACACAGGTGACACCTGCAGGCTCTGTAGAGCTACATTTACTTACGATCTGCTTGCTGTGCTTGTCGAAGGTCGCCTTGACGAAGAGTGCCCCAAGGGCGAAGCCCAGAGTGTCGTCGGTGTTGCCGATGCAGGTCTGCCAGCGTGGCGTGCAGGACTGAGGAGGGGATGAGAGTCAAAGCGAGGACAAGTACACAGCCAGCCAGCACACTCCAGGACTCGCTCACAGGGCACACGCACACACACCTTCTTCGTCCCGTAGAGACTCTCTAGCAGCTTATCCTGGGCGTTCTCGAAGCGCTGGTCCAGGCTGGACACTCCCTTCTGAACCAGGTTCCATATCATGTAGTTGTTGAGCAGGCTGATCGACAGAATGGTGCCGGCGAGGGCGTGTAAGGAGTCTCACACAAGAAGCACAGAGATGCAGCAGCAGATCTAGGGGCGCCTCACCTGCGGCTCGTCTTGTTGATGAGGTCGGACACCTGCTGGAGATACTCCTTGGCATAGATGACTACAGGTTCAGTCTCGTTTAGCTCCAGTGGAGCCAATGCTGCTGATAGGTAGTCAAGCCATTCGATTGCAGGGGCCAGGGTCTGGGGGTGGGTTCAAAGGTCACATGTTTGCAGACACATGCAAATACACACCTGACCTACAGGACGCTTAATCCTCCCCCCAAGGCAGAACCAATGGATCTACAGCAATGTCTCAATCTGTCACCACAAGAGTGAAAAAACCTGTTCCTGAGCATGTTAGGATAGGGTGACCAGATAATCCATGTCAGGGAGGAGACTCCGAGCTTGGACAGGAATTGTAAATTACCATTTCAATTAAATGAACCTGAATTTCACTTGAGCACCGAGTTCTTGCTGTGTGCTGATTGGTCAGTCTCCTATAATCATGCATGTGTCACTAATGCTAATGTGAAACAGCTGGATGTGTCTTTCAGTCAAGGAAACAAACCAGTCAAAGCACAAGAAGAGCTGAACTATTTAGCCAATCAGAGGAGCCTTTGAATTTGAAAGTAGTTTGTAAAACCCGAAGTAGCTCACAGTGTCCCTCCTGACATGGATCATCTGCTCAGCCTAGGCTGGGGGAAATGTAATAAAGGGGTCTGTTAAAAGTGCATGAATTCAGCCGGGAAATAAATGTTGTAGGAGGTGAGGGGATGAGGGACAGAGAGAACAGAAAAGCTACAAAAAGCTTTTCGCAGGAAGCCCTGAGATACAGCTGATGGAGATGAGGGTTGGCCTACAGACTGGCTTTATCCCTTTCAGGCTCAAATTAAGTTTTAGTAACGACAGGACAACCAAGTCCTGCAGTGGTACTTCTGAGTAAAAAAAACTCATAAAATATGTATGTGGGGTAATAAGGTAGTTAGTTTTTAACTGTTGCAAATCAGCAACGCCTGCCTTGAGAGGGTTAAGCTCTATAGGCGTCGCACGCAGGGGTACCTGCAGGTCAGCAATTGTCAGCTTGTGGTAGATCTTCTCTTCATCACGACGCTCATCCTGAGGGACAGTGATGTTTGCAATGGCAGTCTCCAATTCCAGGATCTGCAGCATCTGGGCCTGGGTGGAGTTCCGGTCGCCACCCAACAGGCAGCCCAGCTCCACCATGTAGTCCAGGTATGCCTTCAGTACCTGAGCAGCGCATGCAAACAATGTCAAACATGCATGCACACAGACATACGAATGTGTGCCCATACAAACACACAGATCACCTTCTCATTGGCCGTCTTGTTCAGGTAATAGTCACGGGACGGCAGGAAGAGTCCCGATTGGTCCACCTGAAAGGATATACATGGCTCCATTTAATCAACAGCTGGATGGCTACTCTTATCCTATGACTATTTCCCCAAATCCCCAAGGTTCAGTCATGCTTAGAGAGGCTGGATCAAAAGGACAGACAGAGCCCACAGAAAGTGCTGGTCCAAAAGACTGATAACAGCACAATGATGCTACATGACAATATAACAACCCCCCCCCCTCATTAACATTCATTTGGCCCCAACAAGGGGTAAGTTTCCCGGAAGCCCCGTTTGCAGCTTATATAATTGGAACCATTTAGTCGCATAGTTCCAACTAATGATGTTAACTATGCTTTTGGGAAACATACTCAAGGACAGTAACTCAGTTTGTCATTGTAAGTTAGCCTGACCTGGATCACATTACTGTTGGAGTTTTTGGGATCCACACTGACACCAACGCTGATGAAGGGCTGGGCCCGGTATGGACCAGACACAGTCTTCAGAACCTCCATGAAGTTGTCTTTGTCCCATGGGCCAGAGATGTTCCAGCCACCTATCTGCACGGGGCCAGATGAAGACCATGTGACCAGGTGCCCCCAAATCCCACAATGCACTTCCCAGAGACCATGGAAAAAATCTGACAAGCCTGCCTGATTGACACCGATTCTGATAATGCTACACTCATGTGGTCAAAGCAGCATATTCATGCCAAAGGTCAGCGGCACACATTGACTGAAGGGCAGCCATGATGCAGACGACACAGAACCCACCCTGCTGATAAGGTCAATCAGAGGCTGAGCACCCAGGTCCTGGATGCGCTGCTCATTCAGGCATGACAGGTAGTACTGACGGGTCTTTCTCTCAGCCTCACTGCTCGAGTTAAACGTGCCGTTCTCTGTTTTTGGGAGGGATGGGAGGGGAGACAGGGAAAGGACAGTTTCACATAGGGCAAGACATCTAGTTTATAGTACGATAGCACATTCTGAGTCAAACAGTCAGCACAGATCACCAAACCAACACCCCTTGCCAAGCTGCAATCATTTATTACACATCTGTTGAACATTTATTACAAAATGAAATGGTACCACATGAACCCAGAGGGATAGTTCACATGTAGAAAAGCTACACAATATTACAATAGCTACTGGCCTGCTTTACAAGTGTTCCACTCAGCTCCCTCTGCTGGCAGAATGTATTATAGCAGGTTTCTTGAGGGCAAAAACAACAGTATGGATAACAGATTACAGCACTCCCTTCCCACGCGGGGGAACTGTCCAATCAGAAAGGCAAGCCAGAAGCCGCATAGTATAATGCTTCTTGCCTACTGACTTATGTAATGAGAACAATGACACTGAAGTACTGCCAACCAAACACAAGATTCGAGCTTCACTTCCAACATCAGGGGTGCGGCAATGCGGCAACTCCAGCAGCACCGCTGCAGTCACCCACCCAGCAAGTGCTTCAGCACGGCCTGGTTCTGGTCCCAGATGCTGTTGAAGGTACTCCAGCGTGACCTTCCGTCGGGCAGAGGATTCTTGCGGATCCAGCCCCCACAAGCATAGCGATAAAAGTCCTGGCAAGGATCGACCTGCCGGTCCAGGGCTTCCACGATCTTACTGGCCACGATCACGCAGGCTTCGGACAGGCACAGGGTGCGGCTGGGCTCTGCGGGACGAGGGCAAAGGCGGTTACCTTCCACCCCGCCGACTGTCAGATGCGAGAGCGGCCACAACAGACGCCTCACCTGTGCTGTACTGGAGCCCAACGGCTACCACACAGCCAAAAAGGGCAAGACCAGCCACCAGCAAGAAACCCAACAGAATCACCTCCAGCTGCGTCCTGCGGCCCAGTGGACCCAGGAACTGGACGCCCCCTTTCCTGAACCCCACCTGTTGTAGAAGGAAGCAAAGTTCCACATATTCTTCTGCATATCACATTCATAGCAAACTGACCACCAGACCACTTTCCTCCATCTATTATTATCTAGCCTTAGCCATGCACTATGGACTCATTCATTTGCAGACACACTTGCTCTCACCTACAGAGAGCAAGTTGGGGGAGGCATGAAGATTTCCCTTACGGGGATCAATAAATTAATGAATTTTCAATTAATGCTTTTTTTCCCCCTCCACCTTTTCAGTGTGCAGAACTTCTGGTCACCATTTCGCCATTACTAGCTGTACAAACTGTATGTTCACATACTATACTTTACTAGAATTGACAAGTTTTACTCCTGACTCAGCGGTTCAGTTTATTCTGATGAAAAAGGAGGGTTTTTAAGCTCATCCAGCCGTGGTTGATGAGGCATCGGGCATGATTTGGGCTAATGGTTTAATACACTCGCTGACATACATACACTGTTACTGTGGTAAGCTGCCAAACACCTACAAATGGCTTATTGGACAATCATTCTATAGAAGTTTGCCTTCCCTACGATGCATTACAAATTTAAAGTTTACCGAGCCCAAGTACACAGCGATTACGAATTACGTGAGGTCACATACATAGCTTTACGGCTTTATTCCAACAGACTATTACGGGACAACACTGGCAGATATATATATGAAAAAACATGTACAAAAACGAAAATAAAATTATAGTGATTTAGTGAGCCTTAGTCAACTTTCTCAGAACAAAATTTTACCAGCAGCAGCCAAATAGGAATTTACTCCGCTATGCTACGATCAGTCGACACAGTTTGTACAGATATCCAGCCCTATTTAGAGACGCATTGCTCGGAGCCCTTTCCAGCCCGCACACACCCGGCGCACCGGGGGATTAACCAGGCCGTTAACTTTACCAGCGACACAGGCTGTTAATGAGCGAAAACGGTGAAAATGCAAAGTGCAAAACAAATACTCTAAGCTTAGGGAATATTTAATTAAACTGAATAAGAGTAAATTCTTACCAACATTATGGATGAGGCTTATTTCAAAGACCAGCTCGGAGCCGCCGGCTCTCCCCGACTAAACTGTTAATTAGCGTTTAGAGATTTTGAACTAGGGAGCGTAATTAAGGGAGAGGGTCTGAAGATGATCACGGTGTTTTATAAGGCTTGGTTACGGGGTTAAAGTTTATCAGAAGAAATCAGAATCCAAGTTTGACAATATCTTCCTTTCGTTTATTGCACAAACCGACATATTATATTTAAGACCCTAATTGGACTCTACGGCAGGCAGAAAAGGCACACGAGAAGAAACACGAGAAGCTGACACTACCTATAATTAGTTTAGACAACTGATAACCACAGATTGCGGATACAGGGTCTCGTATTCACGACGTTGTTTTACTGTATGTGTTTATGGTGTGGATTGTGTATCTGTGCACGCTGTAACACTGACCTCCACGCAATCTGGAGAAATTGCCCCATCAGCCGGGAAATCTGCAACGTCGTCTTCGTCAAACGTTGCTCGTTTGTAGTTTGACATCTGCAGAGTGAAGAGGAGAGTGAACAGGATAACATGGAGAGGGAGGAGCGGAGAGAAGGTGCAGGAAGGTACACCCTTCAGCAAGGTGCAGCCTGCAAACGCACACCGTGCCGCACTGACCACGATCTGGGGTACCCTGCCATAACATATCAGCCTCTGTGTGCAGTTGCGGTATTACTTATGGGACACTATCTGAGGAAGAGGAGGAGTGTAAACTGTGACGCACGCAGTCGGCTGGTCGGACTGGCTTGGAGCCCAGAAACACCCCAGACTCATTTGGGGAACATACATGTGTCAAAGATAGCCAGCCACCCACTGTCCTGTGAGCTACCCTGAGAAGAGCTATCCCAGAATGCATCTGGGCCCTCGTGGGACTTCCCAGATTTTCGTGCTTGCTCCAGCGGACTACACACGCATACACACAAGCATGTTGTAACAGCAGCTCTGCTCCGCACTCAAAGCCACACTGACAATAACCCAAGATGCTGGTCAGGGTGTGACTTGTGTGCCGCTGTGTCTGCGAGCCCCTCTTCAGGGTGGCGAGAGGAAGGGAGCGGTTTTCCCGACAGCAGAAACTCTCCCTGCGTGGAATGTGTCTGTTTGAAATGTTTTCCTGCTGAGTGTTATTGTAAGGAAGCAGCATTATGCGGTCTGCCTGGCACGGGGAGACGAAGCCCCGCGCCCCAAGCTGACGGCGAAGCTCTAAGGAGGCATGTGTGTGGCACACATGCGCATTTCCACTCGCGCACACAGTCCCGGCACACAAGCATCTTCGCATGCGTGATAATGCTTTCTAGTGGACTTGGTGTTGTGAATATCAGTCACCTCACAGACATACTAGTCCATCACAGATCATAGAATGAAACAGAACATTTGTGGGAGAACTTAAGATTTACCCCAGAGGAGGGAGGGGCAGGAAATATATGATAAAAATAATAGGTACTTTATTGATCCCCGTGGGGAAATTCTCTTTATGCCTCCCCCAGCTTGCTCTCTGTAGGTGAGAGAAAGTTGGCTGTGAAGGGCAGCCACCCCCAGCAGGACCCAGGGACCTGGGGGGGTTATGAGTCTTGCTCAATGAGCCACAGATGTGCTGAAACCAGGCTCGAACCAGCAACTCTCCAATCACAGGCACAGGCTTAGCCCACTGAGCCACATGCTGCCCCCACAGTTATACTGTCATTACATTGCTGTCACAGATTCTTTTTGAAATACAGAAAAAAAGCTTAAATGTTAATTATTTTTGGGGTAAAAGGTGTTATCCTTTCTACCCCATCAGAGAAAACTGCTCCAGGACACTGTGGTTGCTCATTATGCACTCTGTCTGCAGTTGTACAAAAGTGGACATGTAACATGTACCTTGAAACCTGAAAGATTCTGGAAGGTGTTTGTAGAGAATAAATTATGGAATTATGGAAAAGAGTGGTCAGTGAATCTGGCAAAATACAGATCCATTCCTAAACGGAGGCTCTGTGCTTCTTTCAGTCAAACCTATCTCTGATCAGTAAACAAAAGGCTCCCACTAGAGACATCTACTGATCTAAGATCATGCATCGCAGCCCTCGTCTCCTCAGACATGCGGCACACTCTCAGCGTCTCACAAATGCACATCTACGCACCGATATTTAACAAAATACACAGATGGACTCCAAAGTGCTTGGACTGGAGCAGCATTTCAGTTACTCCCAAAGCAAGACATGATATTACAGAAATCGATCCATTAAACCACACAGACAAATACAATTGTTTAACTGTCAGGTAGGTCTGTCACTAATAATAAACTAAGAGTACGACACACGCTGGACCTTGAGAGCTGCTGATAGGCAGGTTGGATATTACTCACCTACCTTAAAGACCTGCACATTGGCTTAGATATCAGGCAGCCTCTCCATGTGCCACAGTCGTCAGGCAATGACTGTAAACAACGAGGGAGACTCACTGCACATCACAGAGAAGGAAGAACAGAAGTAGCTGCAAAGAACAGGGCTCCCCTACATCACCCTGTGAGAGACAGTGGGGGCCCATAGGGACAGTGGGCAGGACAGAGGGTGACAGACAAAGCACACAGCTACTGAAGGACGAGAACTTACAGGAGCAAAGGAGAGTGGAGACACAGCAGCAGTGAAATGGACTGGAAGAAGGATGGAGCTGCTTGGATCTGGTAGAGTCTACTCCGCTGAAGAACACATACTCAACCCTGTATGCTATAATTGGGGAGGAGGGTCACACTTGTGAATGTTTTACAATACAGACCAGAAGAGGAAACACCCAACCCTCTTCCCTGTTCCTTAGAGAAAACGAGAGCAAGAGAGAGAGTGAGAGGGAAGGCAAAGGAGGGAAGAAGGGGTCACCGTTTATTTTTAAAGACTTCTCTTTTTGTCGCTATTTTTCTCTCTGCCTCACACACACACACAATGAAATAGCAATAACCTTTGGCCTCAAATTCAGTGCGCAATGACGTCAGCAAAAGCTTTGAATAAAATCATGTAGCAATATAACACTGCCATCTTCAGGGCTGTGATTAAAGAGAGCTGCAGTCAAGGTGCCGTTCCGCTGCAGAAGGACCTCAGGAGCAAAACATACAGGCAATAATAAATATGGAGTTTCAAGGGTAGCCACTAGGGGGCATCCTCCCTTGCCAAGTGCTATGCAGCATGAAGAGAACGTTCTATTCTCTGTTGGAGTGATACAGTTAGCCACTACAATGGGTAAACGAGAGAGCAGCCGGCTGTGAGTGACCAAGCCTGCTGCCCCTCCATCATCAGAGTGACAAACTACTGTACAGACACCTCTTTACATGCGGACTACTGTGGAAGATATTCTCAAAGTGTGTGTGTGTGTGTGTGTGTGTGTGTGCATCCAGTCATCTTTCAAGATTTCCAATCTGTGTGTGTCCACACCTGCCTGTGTGTGTGACGGAGAATGTTCTCTGAAGGTGACAGAAATGACATCACTGAGCTCAGAACAAAGTGCTCATTAATAGTCTCTCCCTCTCCCTCCTCCCATAGCAACCCCCCCCCCCCACCCCCTCAAGACTTACGTCATAAATAAGCAAAACTGCAGAGTGAGAGAGAGCTGCCTGGGATGGGCTCCAGGCCCCCCTGCAAACCTGATCAGGGTGAGATGGGGGAAGAATGTGCAGACGGGAGGGTAAGGGTGAGAGACGGCAAGGAATAGACGGAAGACAGCGTGGGAACGCAGGAACGGCGTGGAAACAGCAGGAAGGCGTCGTGGGTAGGCAGGGAGGGGGCGTGGGACAGGAGGGAAAAGGAGTGGAACAGGAGGGGGGGGGGGCGCATGATAGAGGGCGGGGGGGGGAGGGGCCAGGGGCACACAGGAAGAAAGGGCAGGGGGAGATGTGGAGGATGACTGAAAATAAAGAACAGAGAGGGTCTGAATGTTCTGCAAAGGAGATGCCAGAAAAATGCGATGAGACAGGTCAAGAGCATAATTTGAAATGAGCTTGTTCATTAATAATCAGAAATAAGCCTTTTTATGTGTGCTGCACGCTCCTTACACTATCATGCTGCTCTGTTTCATTCTCTAACACGCCTGACACAAAGGTTGCCCTCCTCTCCTCCTGCCCTCCTGCTCTCCTGCAATCCTCCCAGCGAGGCAGATTGCCTCTGAGCCTGTGGGCTCCTCCAGGCCTGCTTTCCCAAATCACCACTTCTCCTGACAAGGTGAGCAAATCTTTCGAAACAAATTGACTGTTATAAATAAATATACTAACAAGCTGACGCGTAAGCAACACCTGCTGGACTTTGCCTCCTGTCGTCCAGTCCGTCTCTCTCGCTGTCCCCTCTCCCTCTTCCTCCTCTGCTCCATCCTTTTCTCCCATCTCCCTCTGTCCTCTGCCTCCTGACCACCGCAGTGCGGAGTTGGCAGAATGTTAAAGACCCGAAAGACAGTGTCAGGGGCACCGAGCAGATCCCCGCTCCAGTGCCATTAGCGGCTACGTGCCCGGCCAGCTGCCAGCTCCTTGTGTCTGTCACTCGCCGCGTCTCACTGCGGGGACACAGCTGCACCTCGCCCTGAGCCTCTCCTCGTGGCTCTCGCAGGTCAGGCCACCTCGTGTTGAGGCGGCACCCGAACTTCAGGAGAGGCCCACACATCGCCATGCGATGTACAGTCTGCATTTACTCACAGTGCAACCATCCACTTACGACATTCAGTTAACACACCATTAGAGGAGATTCTAGGGACTCTGGGGGCCGTGGGACCCTCCAACTCCCCCTCCCCTGACATGGTAAAATTAATTACCTTTATTTTGCTGTGAAGTGTAAATTAATAGTTTCAGCAAAGAAAATTCAATAAGCACTTTTGTGAAAGCAGAATCCACCGTTTTGTTGTTATAACGTGCTATGCGATTGACCGCCCTTCGGGGGGGCGCCCTCCCAGCTGGGCCCCCAGGCCATTGCCTGCCCTGCCTGTCCAGTTGCTGTGCCTCTGCTCATCATAACATGCTTGCCCAAAACACAGGTTTAGAACAACGTCATACCATCACTCATAGCAGATTATTAAATATTAGAATGACATTAATAAAAGGTCAACATAAATAGCAGGCAGACTGCAGGGCTGCTCACTGGGAGGCTTCAGTGCAACGACACAGCTTTTTATCACAATACCATAATTATCTTTCCTGGTAAATACACCACATGGCCGATCATGAACCCAGGTCTGTTCCTGCTTGCTGATATCCTGAAAAACTGATGGAAAAAGTCCAGTCTTCCCAGTGCAGCAGTGAAATGACTGCTTAGTCCATTTAAAGGGAGACCGTCAGCATCAACGGGCATGTGTCCCACCCCCAACGCTCCCCCCCCCCGCGCCCTGGCGTTACCATGGAAACCCCATGCTCCAGAACGATGAGTGCTTCAGCCTGTTACTGCGCAGTAGAAACACGACGCTGTGATGGAGGTACCGATACAAATAACATTAAAGCATAAAAGACCTGGTGTACCTGGGGGAGCTTTAAGACACCCTACCCAAATTTAATGCAAATGACGCAAATATGGATGACCGATGACACAGAAATCATACAGGATGCATGAATCGCAATAAACGCAAATGCCGCTGAAAACAGATGAAAAAACGGGCTAGTATGACGCGGAGATGCTTATTCGGACAGAGGAAAAAATGTCCATGGTTAGACTGCGGCTAATTTAACTGTGTATTAAGCAACTCATAATTAACACCGTTTATGAAATATTTACTTTGTAACGTATAAAGAAAACTAATACCACAGATTACAGGTTTATAACACATCAGATACGAACCTATTTTCACTTTTCACAATGATTAGGAAAATGGCCACATATGAGTATGTGTGAGTGTATATATATATATATATATATATATATATATATATATATATACACACACACACACCACACGGTTATTTTCCATCTGAATTAAGTTCCGTTTTTTTTAACGAAAACCCTTGGGAAGTCACATTAGTCGCATTCAAATGCTCAAGATGAAATGATAAAATACCTGCATGTTCCCACGAGCCAGGTTAGTTGTAGCTTATGCATTTAAATAAAAAATATTTTTTTAAGCGCAACACGTTTCACTAACACGCAGAAAAGGCCGTTTACATCGCCCCCCCCCCCCCCCCCCCACGACGCCCCCCAGAGAAAAATAACAGACGGAAACAAAACCTTGCAAAACAGCTACGTGGGCAGCACGTTTACAGCTAACCTGTCATGTCGTTGTCTTCAGCATCATGCACGCAGGGAGCAGGCAGGACCCCCATGTCACCCCGGAGCGATGCGGACCCCATCTTATCCCGGGATGATCTCACCTCGTTCCGCAGGTCCTGCAGCGCCACGCTCATCGTGCGCCCGGCTCCGGTCACTGTACGGCCGCCGGAGACCCCTCCGCCTCATCAGCAGCGATCAGATGCCTCATTCTGCTCGTTCAGGCAGAGCGTAGGAAAGGCGACCATTAAAGAGAAGCGTGCAGAGCCCGTAGGAGCCGCTCTGCGTTAACGACGACAGGGGTGCAAAATGAGACAGGGAACAGATCTCCGTGCGTCTGCTCGCCTGGCGTCAGGTGTGGACACGTTGGGGGAGGGGGCATCAGCAGATGCATTGTGTTTGACGGGATGGGCTACATCAGGAAACATTAGTGGGCTAGTCGCAAAGCTAAAGGACGCCTGGTTTCGAGTAAACAATGTGTACATGACGCTGAATAACACCCACGGTTCCTTTAGCGAGTACTTTCGGTTTATTTTCAATTACAATCAAAAAACATTATAATATTTAAATTTTTCATGTTGAGGTTTAGAAGCTCTGAGATTTTTTTTTAGCCAAATTAAAATAACTCATACTAAACCTTGACTGAGGTGCGTGTGGAAATCTTGATTCTTCTTTCATCGTTTATAATATAATATAATGTAATACAATATAATGTAATGTAATAGGGCCAGTTAATTCTTTACGCAACAGAGGCGAACGCCTAGGGCGCCATCTTCTGAGGGGCCGCTGAACTACTGATCGGCTGCCAAAGTGAAACTGGGCGGTGATGTTTGCCGGCGCCCCAGCGGTTAAATTTGCCTAGGGCGCTACATCGGCTTCGACTGTAATATAATTTAATAGTACAAGTAAATATGTTCAAGACACAAGATGTACTGACTGATTTTTTTCAGGAAGCGTACACACTAATTGGTTTTCAGCTGAGACACGGACATGCGGACTGGCACGGACGTCTGCTATC